CACACACACACACACACACACACACTATATATAAAAATAAGAGCTCATTGGCCTGGCACCATCTACATTTAGCAAACCGGTGTTGCCCTTTATTTCATTTTCCATTTGTCTCCATGATCAAATTATTCTTTCTTTCAGATTTTCTTTTAAAGGCTTGCAAACTCTTGGTACAAGACTAAAAAGCCTGTAGCTGCCTGCAGCACCTCCCCCCCCACTTCATAAATACATAAATTACTTCTACTGTTCTCCAGTTACATGATGAACTATGTAAGTCCTAATCTTACAATTTAATTCAGCAACACAAGCTACTGCACCTGCATAGAATGTAGCTTTAGGATCGGGGCCTTAAACTGGCCAGCTTTGGACATTTTACACCAGCCCAGAAATGGTCACAGAAAATTACCTTTGCAATACATTGGTGTTTTCTGCATATTTCTTAATTTGGTGTGTTTCACTTTTTAAAAGGAGATGAATTTTGCAGATGGAAAATAAAGCAATTTTTCTGCATCAAGTTACAGTTTCTGTCACACACTCAGTACCCCGCCCCACAAAAAACTAATGCACAAAATCAGTTGCAGCCATCCTATAAACTGTTGGTGGTTAGAAGCCTTTATTGGCCAAATGGACCTAGCTCTATATTTCTCATATCCCCGTCTCCCCCCGATGCATTTATTAAAATCTGGCTTCTGGATCCGTGGTTTCACATACCAGTTCCTTCAGAGTCCTAGAATGGAAATGACTGGTCTCCAAGCCTGAAAATTTTAAGTTCCTTGAGCCTTTCTCCAAGCTTGGCTATGATAATTTCTGTGACTATACCTTTACTTCTATTATCCATCCTAACTCCCCCCCGCAAAAAATAATCATTATCATCCTTGACAAAAGCTGAGGCAAAGTACTTACTTACATTTTAGTCCATAGTTAAATTATCTTTAAATTTCTACCCTATCCTTGCTGCATAGTGGCCCCACTACTTGCATTGTCCTGTGTATTTAAATAATCAAAGATTTAACTATTCTTTGCAAGATGCAACTCACTGGCTGTTAGTATGCCTCACTCTCTTGACGCTTCCTGACCTCTAAGGCAGCCTTTTTTGCTGATCAGTCCTTTTTCCATTTCTTGTGCTCTTTCTCTCTTCCCAATATTCATCATTCATGCAGTTAGGTTTGCAAGTTCTTACATTTTTCTCTCCACTTGTTTAGGCTACAGATTCCTGATAGTTTTAGCAGCTCTAACATAAAGAAATTGCAGGTCTCCTCTGATTTCAAGTCTGTCCTTAGACCAAGTGACTTTCCTAATTCCCTTATTTTCAGACTTTGTCCTTTGTCAGAACTACTTGCGTTTATCTTTCCATTTAATTTACTGTATCAATTAATCATCACTGAACCCATTTTCCTACCATATCCTCATTAACTACTAAAGCCAAGTTTTAAATAATTTCACCTCTTGTTCATTAAGTGACTTTGGTGAAGCCTGTCACCTATCACTCCCAGGGATATCTGGGCCCTGCCATTATTAGTAGTATTTGTACTCTAACACTCCTGGGAAGAGATTGAAGTCTTCCAGAATACAATTCCTGTAGTATTCTGCAGGTCTCTACTCGTATCCAAATCTGATACATGTTGTCTATAGCAGAGTTACAGCTCTATCCCCACTGAAACTCAAACTAGCTTCCCCTAGCAATATTCTCTCTCAAAACAGGTTGTTTTACTGTTATTATCCATGCAATTACTTAATAGCCTACCACAGCATTTGCATACAGTGTTACCTCATTGCTCTGTTTCCATGTCTATAGAGCAGCTCAACTTTTAATATCTAGGTTCCAGTCATAACCACTGTGTTTCTGAATTATGCTGCCCAATTCTGAAACTGATCCAAAATACCCACTTAGCCGCCACCTCTCTCTGCAGGTACCTACATTCTCTAGAGGTACCTTGCGTTCTGCTTCTGCACATGTCCAGAACTGCCTCAGTCTCCTTGGAGCACACATGCAATTCAGGTCCAGGAAGTGAGCATCCCTGTCTTCTGATGGTTCTGAACCAGCAGGCATGCTCTGAGCAAGCCTATGACAGTGAAAGGATCAGACTCACAAAATGCATTTTGGCCTCTCAAAGCAAAGCTGAAAGAGGAGGAGGAGGGGGAAAAAGGTAGGGCACTTGTGTGGGAGAGGTGAGCTCTGGGTTTTAGTCCATTTTCATCGTTTCATAGTTGGTAGGGTTGGAAGGGACCTGAGCAGATCATCAAGTCTGACCCTCTGCCATGGCAGGAAAGAGTACTGGGGTCAAACGACCCCAGCAAGGTGTACATCTAGCCTCCTCTTAAAGACCCCCAGGGTAGGAGCCAGCACCACTTCTCTTGGAAGTTGGTTCCAGATCCTAGCCGCCCTGACCGTGAAGTAGTGCCTCCTCATGTCTAGCCTGAATTTACCCTCTGCCAGCTTGTGACCGTTATTTCTAGTCACTCCTGGTAGTGCTTGGGGGAACAGGGACTCCCCCAATGCCTGCTGATCCCCCCTGACTAGTTTATAACAGGCCACAAGATCCCCCCTCAGCCTTCTCTTGTGGAGGCTGAAGAGGTTCAAGTCCCGTAGCCTCTCCTCGTAGGGCCTGCCCTGCT